CACCTTATGCAGGTTTTTATAACCAGATTTTTAAAAAGAATTTGTATCTCATTTAGGACGCTGCTACTGTTCGGAAGTCACATTTTTGTCTGCGCCTGCATACATTGAGGTTTACGCTGTGTTTTCCACCAAGGCAACCCAGGCTGCCCAAAAAAATTGGGTAAACTGACGGTGGGTTACACAGACCAAAACAGACAGATACACATTATACACATTTTTAAAGGAGAATAACTGACTTTAACGTTGTTTTTCAGTTCACTTAGCATGTTTCTTAAATATCTACAAACATATTATGGTATTTTTATGCATTAGAAGGGTGAAAACTTTAAAGAGACTTTAGGTCTGTTTATTCAGCAACTGCTATGGGTGTTACCTGGGTATTGTGCTTGTGAGATTTGAAGTTTCTGCACTCGAATGCCCTCTGACCTTAGGAGGAGATTTCACAGAAATGTTCCCTCCCTGACAAAACGCCCATGACAATCACAGCTTTGCTTAATCACATTCGCAATTTCATTTCATCTAATCGCCTAGCCCTGACTAGAAGGTTAACATTTTCCATACGTAATTCTAGCTAAACATCGACTAGCTGTTTATATTAACTTAAATCCAACTGACAGTTGATGCATTGGTACAGTATCTGAAGTGTATTTAAATAAAATGGACGTCTTTTAGTTGAATTCATTTCCCACTTAGTTCATTGTTTTATAATGTTATAACTCCTGGCCTGTTTTTGTATTATTTCTCATTAATACCCGGTTTCACTCCAACTCCAGATTACAAGAGGTGAAATGGATTGCAAAAGCATTTTGTGATGATTTTATTATAGGAGCTTAGTAGTGTCAAAGAGAAGAGAAGGGAGGAGTTTTCTGGACAAAAAAGGCTTATAGTCCACAACATTTGAATTGTCATTGGGTATGAAGTTGCTTAATTTCCTTATACTTGCATTAACTACTATAGTCACGTTTTTAATTAAATGATTTATTGTGGAGTTGCTTGGTTTAGTTGAAGGCTTGGATTTGTATTTATTTTTTCTTTATTTGCTATTTATTGATTATAATTCTTTGCATGAAATGCTTAGTAAGGAAATGAATGGGACATAGATATTGTATCCATTATTTAAGAATTCATTGCCTCAAATTTTAGGTATATGCACTTTTTTGGTTTATTAAGTTTAGTTCATTAAATTGTATACACAAGTGGGAGAATAGTAGTACCGCAATTTAACTAAAAAAGGGAACCAATTAGAAAGTAATAGATGCTAAGGATGCACAAACTACTAAAATGTTTTTACTTTTGAGCTGAATTAGTTCTGAAGGGCCGGAATCATTGACTGAAACAATGATGTTTAACAGTAGTGAAATGTGTTAGACTTTTGTGGACTCCACAGATAGGTTGACTCAAATTCTTGATTTTAATTGATACTGATATACAGATTTCATGATTTTTCTTTTAGTCTCTGCTGTTTTCTGTTGATGCATGAAATAAACTTCAATAAACATTAAGAGGGTCTGCTATCCAATAATTACAATATGCTTTGTGCTGTTGTTTCTTTAAATACAAGCCAGTCTAAAAATACTACATTTATTCTAGTAAATGTTGTGATATAATTGACAAAATGTCAAATTGTTGCTCCTTTATACAATAACAAGTCAATGGTTATAATCACATTAGAATCACATTAGGCACATTTGAACTGATTATCCTTTCCTCTTTTTTACTATAAATTATATCAATAATGTATGAACATGTTAAGAGATATACTATCAGTGTTTCAGCTATGGAAATGTATTAATACAATGTCAGAAGTGCTATTTGGTGTTAATGTATATCAGATCTATTAATATTTTTATTATTTATTGTGTGTTTGAATGCAAACAATTAGGACAAAACTTCAGAAATTTAAAATTATAGTTTTATACAAATAGGTTTTACTTTTGATTACTAAATAAACCTAAAGTAAACTAAAAGGAAAAATAATCAACCCGAATAATTAAGTTTCAGTTTTCAGCCAAGTTAATCTTGAATTTATGGTTTTGCCTCAGAATTTTCTTTTTGGTGTCTGAAATTTTTACTTGTGGACATAATATCTGTATTTTTTATTGTATTGTTTTACATGAAAGCTGTGGAAAAGTGTTACTTGTGGTTTGCTCTTTGTATTTGTAAAGATTTGTTTGAAAGGAAACATCCATCTTTTTTTATTTATTTATTTAATCTTATTTTGCAAACAACTATATTGCCAAGTTTTTTCTTGATTATTGTATTCCTAAGTTCAGATGCAGTGTAGTCTGTCTGAAGTCTTTCATACTTGTACAAAATCTGCAGAAATAAACATGCCAACCTCACGGAAACTCACAAACTGACATCTTGACACTTCATTTCACATTTAAAAGAAAGAGCTCATTCCTTACACTTCAGGGTGCTGATTGCTGGACTGGAACATTTTTTTTAAATATGTAACTCTGTTGAATCTTAAAACATTGTCTTTATTTTTCACAATTAAGAAATGTTTGTCCTTGAGTCACAACATAACTTCACACATTTCTGACATGTACACTGGTGGAGATTCTGTCACTGTTTACTCCTTTAATGCTTCTTTGCTAATACTAATGTATACAGAATAAGATAAATAATACATTATTGAGTGTGAACATTGTAGTGTATTGAGTGTTTTGTGATTTATTTAATTATAATTTATTTAATTAATTCTTTCATAACTTTTGTGCTTTACTGAAAACAAAAATAAACATGCATGCATAAATAGAAATAAATTAAATGAGAACAAATCATGTAAATAAATCATGATAAATCTTTTATTATAAACTCTTCTTTTAACCCTCTGGTGCTGCTCAAATATTTTCCAGTTATAATGTATATTATTTCATATTTTTGTCTGACTTAATTAATCAAAGACCTGAAAATAAAATGTTCAACTTAAACTATTGTTAATCTTTAGTGCTTTGTAGTCTCTGATCTGCTGTAAGTTTTGTCTTCCTTTTGAAGACATAAATATAGATTATTTTTTATAGATAATAAATAAGAATATGGTTTTATAATATGTAGTTTTATGTAGAATTAAATGAATTTTTCTACTCTGATCAACAAATTTTTTTCCCCCGATAAAAATCAAATAATTTTTTACATCAAATAAAACTATATTTGTTTATTGTTTGTTTGTGTTCACAAAATCTAGACCAGAGATGCCCAAAGTAGGGCCTGAAGGCCAAAGGTAGCCCATTGTAACCTTTAATTTGGCCCACCACCTTTCCACCTGAGAGGAGAGTGAGACTGATGGAGAGAGTTGGGTCAAATGCCTTTAACACAGAGATTGTCGTTTCTAATTTGACGTAATTAATAATCTAATTAACTTCTTTGTGTTTTTTTTTTTTTTTTTGCTGAGCTAAAAAAGCCCCTGAAATTAAATGTTTCATTTAAATGTTGTGAATGAATCTGATTTGTAAATACTGTCACTCAAGGACTATGCAGAAGACATCAGTGAGCAAATCAAGCCAACAACTAGTGTAATTGCTTTGATTCACTTTAATAACGTTTATTATAAAATGTAAAAATATATGTGTATGATACTGTATTAGTAAATATAAAGCCGTGTTTTCTAGTCATGTTTATACAGTATTAAATAAATTAGCAAATTAGTCATAGAAACTATATTTACATTTAGCCTACAAGCCTCAATCAAGTTTGGTTTTTGGCCCTTCATAAGAAAAAGTTTAGGCACCCCTGAACTAGACCAATCTTCAGACCATTATGTAAAAAATACATAAATTAATTAGTTAAATAAGAATGAAAAGCACCAGAGTAATAAAGCATATTTATAAGATATACATTTATTGTTCATCAATGAATAGATGATTTTGAAATCTTTATTGTTTACAGAGACTTTGGTACAAAAAGTACAAATGTAAAAAATCATAATTAATCAATAAATTACAATTATTTATAAATTAATAGATTACAAAATTATAATTTATATGAAAATTTCTGCGAATATTGCTAATATATACATTCTAATCTATTTTCATTATTTCCCCTTTCTATTGGTCTTTAGTCTGTTTTAAAAAATCTGTATGAATTATATACAGTCAAGCCAAAACTATTCATAACCCAGGGGTATGAATAATTTTGGACTTTTCATAATTTATAAGTCAAAATATAAAGTATTGGATCACAATTGTAATTTTAAAATCAATATTAAAAAAGTAATATAATAAATGTATCAATATTTGTAGTCTGTTATTGTATACATTTTTGTATTGTAAATTTTGCTTTCATGAAAGGTTGTGATGTATTTCATATGCTGATTATTGTTTGTGTACATTCATATATGCGTACATTTACATATGTGCATTTTTCAAACAAATTCGTAAAACCATCAGTGCTTCTGTGTGTCGTCTGTCCTGACCTTTGACCTCCACTGTCATTGTTTAGCAGGCAGATGTCATTCCTCCTCCCTCCGCTCCCATAATCCCTGTGATCCCAATCTCACCCGTCCCGGCCGAGACCACTGCCATCATTCCTGCACCCGCGTCACAGGTCTTTTCTGTTTTTTCCATCATGTTTTCACTCCACCCACCTCAGCGATGCTCCTCTTGACTTAGAGAGATTACGGAGAGAAAGCCACACTATATCACTATATCTCTGATGCGCACTTGTACCTCAAAAGCAATTGTGCAAGTGAAGCGTGTGATACATGTTTGCCGAAGGATTAAGTTTGCGCTGGTTTGTTATGCCACTCTATTGCATATTCTGCAGTATGTTATGCTGTGTATGGACACAGGCTGTGCTGTTAATCTCTTATAAATGCCAGAGTAATACTGTATCAGCATGCCAAGAGTAAGTGATGCTTTTTATTGGATCTTTTTTCCCATTAAATGTGATTGTTTCGTGTTGTTTTCAGTAGATTATGAGCTTAAAGCAGTGTGTGGAGTTATTGATTTATGTTAGTGTAATTGGTAATGAATGGTTTTGTTTTGTTTTGTTTGCAGGCAAGTCCAGCACCGGTGGTGGTGAACACAGAAAGCCTTGACTCCTCACCATATGTAAGTTTATTTGGAAATTATGCTCTTTTCATGTGCTGCACTTTGCGAGGAGAGTTACATTATTCCAGTTAATGGAATATTAATTGCCGGTCAATAAGATCATTTTCATATCACATATAAAGCAAATTGTAATGAGGAATATTGAAGATTAACACTTTGTGTTTAACATCAGTGTAAAAAAAAAAAAAAAAATATATATATATATATATATATATATATATATATATATATATATATATATATATTGACCTTGACCAGCTGGTTGAGATATGTTTTTGTAATGGGTGTACACTCAAAAAATCATTTTGGCTGCTTGTTCAGACTGCTTATTAGAAATGAGCTGAAATAACACAATTTTTAAGCTTTCCTTTGGGACAACTTAATTGTTTTATGTTCAATCCACTGAAATTTGCAAAAACAACCAAGGTAACCTAATTTATTTGTATTGGGACAACATGAAGGAACTGTGTGGAACCAAACATTTTTTGCAGTGAATAAAAAATAAAACAAAAAGGATTCGAGTTAGTAGTATTAGTTGTGTTTGACTCCTATTTTGACAATTAATGCAGAAAAAAAATGTTCATTTTTATTTAAATTCTTTAAAATTACATTTGCTTTTTGATTCAAAGATGAAATTTTATCATCATCATTACTTTGGCCTGCAGTGTCACGCGGTCCTTATACTATGTACATAGTACTATACTATGGAATATTTCCTATTAATATTAATGTTAAAAACAGTTATGCTGCTTATTATTTTTTTTAGAAAACTCTAATAATATCTTGTGCATGTTATATGTTAGGATGCTTTTAAGCTACTTTTACTTCATTGGAATACATTTTTTAAAGATTCAAAAATAACAATATGGTAATATTGCTTTTGACAGAAAAAAAGAAAGTAGAGCTGTGCATAATTCTTTTTTTTTCTTTTTTTAACCAAACTACAGTTATGAATACAAATTAAAAGACCACTTTAGTGTATCTTTATTTACATGAATATATTACTTTTAGTTTTGTTCTATTTTAACATTTTGATAACATTTCTTCCTAATTTCAAGTAAATATAATGTCCTTTTCATTTTTTATAAAAAAATGACAGTTGGTCATAATAACAAATATTTGCAGTTGTTGGCATTGCAAATCTGTGTAATTCTTCCAGATATTGCTTTTCTAAAGTGATTGTTCATCCCCCCCCCCAAATAGTTCTGTAATTTTCTCATCCTCACTTTTTCTTTTGTTAAACACAAAAGCTGATATTTTGAAGATATATATATATATATATATATATATATATATATATATATATATATATATATATATATATATATATATATATATATATATAATTTATATATAATTAAATATAATGTATAATTATATATAGATATAATATAAAGACATGTACAGTGTTTGTTATTTTAAAGTGGACTGACAGTCAATATATAAGCTTTTTCATTTGTCATGTTCATTTTCAGTTTAATTTACATTTTTGTTGCTGATTTATATTTTACTATCTCATTTTATGCCTTAATTATTGTACATAAATAATAAATTAGTAAGTAAATAGGCCTAAATAAACAATTATTTAAATATTTTAACAGCGAAACTGAGAAACGGCCTGGCACATGGTCTAAACAGCTCTTAAGTTAAATGCTACTTCATCAAAAGCATAAAAATAAAATGACCTATGCCTCAAGCAGATCACTAAACTTATATTAAAAATAATTTTGCTGCAGGACGTAAATTAAGTCCTGCAAGTTTATTTGAAAAAATATCGTTTCAGTTCAGTTTCCCTGCACTTTTTAGGATATCCTTTATCTTTATTTCTTTGTCTTGTATTTCATCGTTTCATTATTTTAGATGTTGGGAGATTCTTCCTCCTCCAGTGGCTTTAACTGTTGTTGACATTTATCAGGGTCCCATGACACTCCTCCAGCCCTATTCTTCTCTCAATCTCAGCAGCGTCCCATAATCCTATACATCCAGTGCCAGAAAGCCTGCTGATCTGACTTCTGTCATCCTTCATCAGACACTCCATCTGAAGACTATAGAGCTATCTCAATGAGCTCTAGCTAAAGTCTATGAAGAGATGACCATGAGACTGACCTCATTAAATATTTACATTATCAGTGCTGAACTCATTCACTCCATCTCCTACTCTCTTAAAGGGATAGTTCACCCAGAAAAAATCGAAATGGACTGACCATTCATTTAACTTTAACTTGTTCCTTGCCTGTTTAAAACACAAAAAAAAAGGAATTGTGAGAAACTGATTGTTAATAGCTATGTTTACATTCAAAAATGCTAATTAGACTTATGCACAAAACTGAAATATCACATAAAATGTTTGTGAATAAAACACCATTTCCAGTCATAAAGAACAAAATAGTCTCTTCCTGGTAAACTGGTGGAAAATATCAAAAAGCTAAATAAATTATGCTTAAGATACATTTAAATTTAAAAAAATAATTGTGCTTTAGAAGACTAAGATGAATGCAATTAATCTTTGGGAGAACAGCCACTCAAAGAAACAGTTGCTCTGAGAGGTAATAATAATAACCCACTTTCATAATGAACTTAAGGCATTTTCGAGTGACAAAACCACATTTCAGGTGTTTTTCCAATGTGTTCGGTCTTCAACAGACCCATTTTATTTATCACATCATCTGTTAAAGCAAAATAGCCTTAAACTTGTGCATACTGGAATTTATTTGATTAATGTATAATCATATTCACATTTTTTTTTCTTATTAGACTAAAAAGTTTAAGCTACTCAGTTTTCTTATGCACATTTTTAAAATCTATGTGCATCTTGACATTTCCATTATGCAATTTTCAATAGAAGCTATATTCCAAAATGTACATAAAAATGGAGGATGGAAACAGCTCTTGATATCTGTAATGGGGAAAAAATACAAATGAAAACAGTGACTAGCGATCACCGGCATCCTCTTTTATGCTCTCAAATTGCAAATAATGTAGGTTTGGAACAAGTAAAAGTGAGTAAATTTTGAGTAAATCGTCATTTCTTGCTGAACTATCTCTTTAATAGTACATATCTCAAAAGCTTTCTCAATTTTTGACTTTTTATATTTAGGTTGAATTTCAATAGAAAAATGTACAAAAAAAATTAAGTCTTAAAAAATTAGTGAGCCTTATTACTGAATGTGTTTAAAGCATGCACGCGTCCTTAATAAATAATACAAGAGAAAATACACCATTTCAGAAAAAGAAGTCAAAACATACATTTAAAGGGACATTGTTATAATTTTGATAAATGTGTCCTATTTAATGTATTTATTAATGGTTTTTGAATAATAATATAAAAACACTCCTGAAAAGCTCAGGATTTTCTCTGCATTGTGGGATCAAGCCTTTTTGACACTGGGTCTACTGGTAGTACGAATTGGTTTTACAGTATTCATGCATGTGCTTTCGGATTACGTTTTTCTTTTAAGCAATACAGAGTAAAAAGCAGAGTATTGATGTTGAATAACTCCTTGTGCATGTACTTTACATCTCTTCCTTGTATAACATGTCTATTGTATGTTTTACAAGTGTTTACAATAAACCACATTACTTAAAACATAACCCAGACAGGTTTAGGGGAAAAACACAAATAATCATCATAAAAAAAATCTAATCAAACACCCATTCACATTTCACACCTTTAGACTACCAAAGCTTCTTCAATGTCTCAATATCAGTCTTATTTGTTTTATTTTGGCTAGAATAAAAGCAGTTTTTATTTTTTTTTATTAAACATTTTAAGGTTAAAATTATTAGCCCATTTTATTTTTTGATAGTCTACAGAATAAACCATCATTATACATTAACTTGTCTAATTACCCAAACCACTCTAGTTAACCTAATTAACCTAGTTAAGCCTTTAAATGCCACTTTAAGCTGTATACAGTAGAAGTGTATTGAAAAATATCAAGTAAAATATTATTTACTGTCATCATGGCAAAGATAAAATAAATCAGTTATTAGAAATGAGTCAATTAAACTATTATATTATAATTGTTTAGAAATGTGTTGAAATAAATCTTCTCTCTGTTAAACAGAAATTAGGGGAAAAAAAGAAACGGGGTCTAATAATTAAATGGGTTTAATAATTCTGATTGCAACTGTAAAGCTCCAAAATTTATTGCGATACACAATATTATTGTCATTTAACACTATTTTAACACTCAAATAGCATCATAATGCAAGTACACTCTTTCAAAGAACACATATTTCATTTTCTTAAGAATATATCATTTATATTCTTATTATTCTATTATATTTTATCATTTAGAGTATATTCATTTAAACAATTTGATAATTAGACATTAAAATCAGAATGTAAACAACACACACACACACACACAAACACACACACACACACACACACACACACACACACACACACACACACACACACACACACACACACACACACACACTGTCTATATATCTATCTATCTATCTATCTATCTATATATATAGTTCCCCTTCGGGGGGAACTTCAGCACTATAAGTGGATTTGATTGTTAAAATCCACGTATGGGAGATTCGGTTCAGAAGCTACTCGTCTGAAAGAGTATTGAACGGGCCAATTAAGAATGAATTGGCAGCGCAAGCCTGCGCAGGTGAGCGGCATAAGCAATCAACTGAGTATATAAGCTCACCTGGCGCCAGCAGACGCTATCCTTTTCGCTTCAGAGACTTTTCTGATCGAGCTTCATGAGGGTTCCTCCTGCTGTCTACAGCCACTTCGAGCGAACGAGTGTCTCCCGGTCCAGAGCGAGTCCACGCAGCGGCAGATGGTCGAGCTGGGTTTCTCCCTTGCCTGGCGTCCCTTTGGGTCCGGTCCTCCAGAGCGGTGCGTATTGTTGCAAAGCATCCTAAAAGAGCAACACAGTCGTGCAGCACGTCCTTTTCAGGACGGCGCTCCGACTGTGCGTTTCTGGTTGCGGGGGTTTCCTGGCTCCGGATGATGGGCACGATCACTGCAT